ATATGTAACAATAATAATCAAAGAAAAAGATGTTGTTTATTAGAGAGTAGAATGGAACATGGGAGGAGTTGAAGGGAAGGGACATGGGAGGGGCTGGAGGGAGGAAGTAGAAGATGTTAATAGAATTGTATTTTAACTAAAATTGTAAAAAATAAATACATTTTTGATTTTCTCTGTCAAGCCAGGCTCCTTGACAAATATAGTGCAATATCGAGAGTGTAATGAAGCACCAAGACTAAAACAACGAATATGTATATATCAATAATTGCAAGGTAAAGTTGTTTGAAAAGTTTTAATTTTGCCTTTAAAAAAGAACACTCAATAGGCATTTGTTTGACATTTTAAGTACATAGTAATTTGATAAGAGCCTGAGTTCTAAGTGGCTGAGCCAAAAGCATGAATGGGAGCTTCCTGTAACACAATTTAATTTTTTTTTTCAAGACAGGTTTTCTCTGTGTAGCCCTGGATGTCCTGGAACTAGCTATGTAGACCAGGCTGGCCTCAAACTCATAGAGAGCCACCTGCCTCTGCCTCTGGGATTAAAGGCGTACCCTACCACCACCTGGCCCACAATTTAACTTTTAACCCATTAATCTTCCATCATACAACACACACACACACACACACACACACACACACACACACACAGAGTATGTATATACACTATGGTTATAAACTTCCAAAGCACAAAGTCTACAGGAAAAGAATAAATGGCTGCCTACACTACCTTCTACGGCATAACCTACCATTGATTCAGCCTAAAATTATATTCACAATGCATTGGTCTGTGGTGGGTGCTAGCTCTTCAAGAGGCAATGGGTCTGATTCACCATGCCTCATCAGTGCCAGGGCCATGAGTAAGCACAGGCCCTGGGTTTGGGGGTTTCCCTGATCCTAAGATGAAGTCCATCACTAAAAGGCAGAGGCTTTGCAAGTCTCCATTCACCCACTTCTCAGCCACACCCACATTGGCCCATAGGCCTCCTCAAAGCCATCCACAAAACACAAAAGATGATTTCTGCATAACTGAGCTCACAGAAGTTCTTATTGTTTGGTCAATGTACACAATAGAATCCAAACTTAACTAGAAAGCAACAGTGATGTTTACAAATAAAAATGTTTAGGCAACACAGCTGGGTAGAATCTCAGTAGTTAAGCACTGTCCTGATGCATGGCAAGCATCTGAAATAACATTGTGACTCTCCCTTCCATTCACTGGCAGGGACATTAGAGTGTGTTCAGACATTAGCTAAAGTATTTGAGAAAACACGATTGTATAATACTTTCGAGAATAAACATTTCCTGTGTCTTCATGCTGAAGCACAGCTTTCACTTACTGTCAGTTTGTTTAATTAGGTCAAAGGAACTTCCATGGACAAATGGCTAAGAGACTAGGATATTAATCAGAAGGTGTGTTGTCATGATGGCTTATCTTAGTTGGGACCCAGAGCACTCCAGATGTTTGGGCCCTCTGTACTCAAGGAAAACAACCCACAAGGATGCTGGAGGCTCACGCTAAAGGCAATTCATTTATTAAAGAAATGTCTACTTTTTTTCCAATACATAGATATCTATAGCAAGATAATTCCCCAATGTAAGAAACAGGATGCTTGCTTCCCTCCTGTAAATGTATGTATGTATATATACATACACACTCACTCACACACAAGTATGGATAGGCTTAACTATTTGTGGAAAATAACCTCAGAATGTTTACCATTGTGGGATGTGCAATAGTGCAGAGTACTGAAAATAAGCTGAGCACTGAAGGGCTAATTTAAAGTAATCAGAAAAGATTCCAGGTACCAACTATAGCAATGCCAACTTGGGTATGGGAGAAAAGGTCAGGCAATAGCAAGAGTTCCCAGACTTTTGCTATTTGACCTATTTTACACATAATATGATCTGAAGTGCATTTACAGAGTACAAAGTTTGTGACCATATGGTGGAGAAAACCTCTCAAGAGAATCAAAACATTTGAGAACACCTGCCTTAAAGATCACAAAGTTTCATCAAGATTGAGAACCAAGAAAACAACCAAAACTGACTAGAAGAAGATAGCAAAACATCTTTCCAAAAAGGAGACCAAAAGGATGCTCTAGAGCAGCCTTGTCAGGATGCTAGACACACAAACAGCCCAGGCTCAGTCTTCCTAGCAGATGCAACCCAAAGGTAGAGACAGATATGCTACCTTACAACCTCTAGTGGTTTTCAGAAGTAAGGATGAAAGGAAGGTCACTGAAAAGTTCAAGCAACTCCCCCTGGTTATCAAATATAATAAGACCCACTTACAAGGAATCTATCTAATACTGTTTTCATATTTCAAGTTAACCTCTGTACTTATATACATATTTCCTTTCAATTGATTCTTTAAATAGAGGCCTTTAGTGACCAAAAAGGAAAGTGTAAGTGAAAATCTTCAAATTCTCTTCCACTGCTTCCTACCAAGAAGTGGCTTTAGTCTTGTTAAGGATTTTGAATGAAATTAGCATTAATATTCAAAGCTTAATGCTCTCGGTCTTGCTGATTCCAAAGCAGTGACAAAGGTGACAAGGGATGTGAAACACACTCAGCCTGTTTTCCCACAGTCCTACAAGCTCGCAGCATACGGAGTTTCTCTTGAGACGGTTGCAGACTGCTCATAGGTTGATGACAGGGATAGAGGGCAGGGCTTGCCACTATTTACTTCAGCTTGTTCACTGTAACATCAGATCAAGAATCCTGTCCATAACACAACCACTTTTTCTGCTTATTTGTTCCCAAAAAACTAGAACTTAATTAATCACTGCACCAATTTAATTCTTTTAAATACTTGGGAACAATTCAGTTGAAGGGCACAGTTAAACTAAGAAGGCTTTATGAAGATGATCCAATTTAACCCACGCCACACTTGTAATGGAATCATGTCAGTTATTTAAAAAACAAGTAAATGAAGATTTGAAGGGAACTCATTGTTAAAACCCTTGGTTAGCACGCACAGGCCCTGGGTTTGATCCTCAACTATGATAATGATGGTGATGATGATGGTACCTATGATGTTCAAGTTTCTATACTAAAAGTTAGGGGCTTGCTTTTATTCTAGGATTTTATGCATGTGGGGGCGCATGGTCAGTTGTTAAATGCAGGATGGGGCAGGTGTCTGAGTGCTGGCTTTAAGGAAACACTGTTCCTCCACAGAGCAATTTCTGGGGTGGGTTGCCTTGATTTGGTCTGATGACACTTGACAAAGAGCTGTATTTAAACAAGCTTTCTCATAGAGAATATAGCTAAGAAGTCACCATTTTGTACTTTATTTCTGTACAATTCACTTCTTAGTCACAATTATTCAAGGAGGGATCACTCACTAGGGAAGTGGTTTCTGGTTTCATGAACAACTTGGTAGGAAATTACAGGTGTGAGTTCCCAAGTTTTATATGATAAGACAGCTGGAGTGGGTTTTCTGATTGCTTTTAAAAGGAGCAGTTTAAAAACAAATATTACATATGAAAATAATGACAGATGCCATTATTTCTACAGCAAGAAGGGTTGACACCTTCCCCCAATATTATTTTTATTTTTATTATTTTATGTGTATGGTTGTTTTGCCCACATATCTATGTTGTACTTGAAGATGCCAGAAGAGGGTGTCCTGGAACAGGAATTGCACATGGTTGTGAGCTAATGTGTGGGTGATGGGAATCAAACCCTGGTCCTCTGCAAGAACTGCAAGTGATCCTAACTGCTTAGCCATTGCTCCAGCCTCCATTTATTTTTTTGAAACTTTGTCTCACACATAGCTCAGGATGGTCCTGAACCCAAGGATGACCTTGAGTTTCTTTTTATTTCTTTTTCAAATTTTATTTTTACTTGTTCGATAATTTCATGTAAGCATATAATGTGTTTTGATCAACTCCATTCCTATCTCCTTTTAATAGATATTTAAATTGTTTCCCTTAATTTGATTACCCAGCAATTGTTCTTCAAAGACATTCTATACAAACTATTCAACAACAGCTTATCTGTAAATAGGATGTCATATAGGGATAAAATGCAAAGAACATGACACCCTTCACAAAACCACTTCCTAGAAGCTCACTTTATCTGACCGCCATGCCCATACACGAAGGGGTGATCAAGGAGGAGATTGAGTTACAAGTGAAGCAATGAAATGTATATAATGGGTGAGGGTAGGTGGTGCCATCTAGGAGTTCCAAGTGGAGAGGTAATGTAATTGCCACTCCCAGCTTTTAGATGAGTGGAGAGTTGGTGTAAAGTTAAAGCTGTATCCATGACAGACATCACATAACAGGCCCATTCATGACACTGCAGGCTCATTGATTAAACGCCTTGTAGTGTAGGCTCATTTCTGACATTGAAGACCCATTCAGGACACTGAAGGCCCATTCTTTCATGAAGCTGTTTTACACTACAAGCCCATTCACGATGTACATTGCACTGGGGACCAATTTGTGACACTGTAGGCTCAATCCCTTTGATTCTGCATTGTCACTGTCTTCTGTACTTGCTCATGCCAGTGAAAACTGGAGTCTACGAAAGTGTATTTCGATTCCCAACCCAACACTGAGCAGATTCTCATGTTTATTTTTACCAAAAGTAATGACTTATTCACAATAAAAATGTGAAAACTGAAAACATTAAACATATGCAATGAATGGTTCCAAGCTCACACATTAGCAAGGTGTGTTAGTCTACCGAACTGCAGTCAACAAGTCTAGAATCAAGTTTCGTCTGGAGTTTGCAATAAAGAACGCCAGGCAGGAAAATGGGGGCATCCAGAAAGCATTTGTGATGAGAAAGTATGCTGGAGAGGAAAAGACACAGCGGGCATTCGTAACTTACTGCAGAGGGGGACTAGTGCTCATTAAATGCAGCAAGGTCTCATTCAGGGTGGGATGTGAGGACAAATCAACAGCCCTGCTTCCTTCCCTCCTGGCACAACGCTAACACGTTTGCAGTAGTCGCACACTCTCTGGGAATCGTGATGAGAATGACACTCTTACCATCTGTTTTCTTTGAATCATTTCCGGTGCTGGAGTGATCCTTCTTGTCGGCCTTATTTCTGCCATCTTTCAAGTCACCTGAAAACAGTAAGCGTGACAAACTGAATGCGTGCAGCAGAGGAGGCAGAAACGCTTCCAACACGTCAGGATGAGACACACTGAAGCAGAGAGGCATGAGAGAGCACACACTCCGGTACCCGGATCTTCTGTAACCAAATGATAGGTTCTGAAAACTGGATTACAGTCAGAAATTAAAACTACAATATCTGCTCAGACAGGGTTGTACTTAGGTCAAAGCTAGTTTTGTACGAAAGACAATTCAGTTCTGTTGTTAGGCTGTGAAGTGAGGGAAACCCTGAAGTACATATAAGGACATACTAATTAGTAGCTGGTTAACTATGCTAACTAATAGTTATGCTTTCATTTCTTATCTGCAGAATGGGGGTAATAGTGTCTACTGTACATACAGGACTATGGACAGATGCACCTGAGCCAGTTAAGTGGTAAATGTAACATGTGGTATACTGCTGGAAGACAGTGGTCCCTATCCCAAGACAGAGCTATGTGTTACTCTAATGAACTTGTCAAAATATTATTTTCCAAAGTTGAAATATTATTCTCACAGATGTGAGCAAACATATGTAAAGAATGTATGCAACACACTGATGAGGGGGAAAGAGAACAAAATAATCCTCAGGGCATCCAAGAAAGTGGGTATTTATGAGCATCATAGAAGTGTGTTGAAACACAGCTGTGATTTAAGAGATGGTGTTCATGACTGAAGAATACTGCTTATGACCTTTGAGCAATTGTCTGTACAAGTCAGAATCTCATATCTAGTAAATAACTTTACCACTATATGAATAAAGTACCAAAAAGCAAATTTAAATGCACTTGTATTCCTAAAACTATGGGTCAGCAAGTTATGGGTCAATCTGGTCAGTCACCTGTTAGAGCCAATGACATGTTACTGGCACTTGGCGAGTGACTTACGCCTATCAGCATATTGTTTGTGATAGTTTCACTTTGTAACAACATAGTTGAATGTGTGTGGTAGATGCAGATATCTTGCTAATATTGCCTATGTGGCCTGCTACAGAACAAGGAGTTACTCCCTGCTGAGGACAGTCATCCTTGGTGAGCTGAGGATAGTCATCCTTGGTGATCAGCTTCATGACTGGAGTAACAGTGAAGAGGAGGGAGGGGTTTGTACCAGCCTCATTTCCAAATTTTTAATCCTTCTCTTACTACTTTTACTAACGGCACCTTTCTTTCTCACCCGTATGCAGCCAGGGATACCTTATTACTCAAATACTACATAGTCACAGAATCTAGAAGATCCTAGCAGTAAGTTTTGCAGTGAGCAGAGGTGGCAGGATACTAGGAGTGAATAACTTTATCCTTTTTTCAGTGTGTGCCAAGTGCTTTGCACATAATCACTATGGGGAATTCTTATAACAACCCCGGTGTGAAGGGGCCACAGACCCCTTCAGCGAGTCAGTGAGCCACCAAGTCACCTGGTGCTAGAGAATGCTTTCCATATGGAGACACCCCTCTGCAGAAGCACTGTAGCCAAAATAGCTAACGCTGGCCAGGCAGACTGCTACCAGCACGTGTTTCAGACACCACTTTGGCCTCAACTTCTACCCTAGCCTTATTCGTACATCTTCCCCTGGAGGCCAACTACTCCTGGCAGCTACTGTAGATCTGTTTGAGCCATGTATCTGAAATGTTTTTGAACAAGTGACCAATGGTGCTCCTACAGAGTAACTGTGCTCAGGCTGATTTGCAGGGAATTGACCCCAGGCACATATTATCAGTCCCAGGGAAGCAGTAACAGGCCACGTTGATGGGGCTGATTCCAGAGGCCCAGCTCTCCGCCACTGTACCTGCTTTAGATTTCAGGCTCCCTAGTACCATTTTCATTTTAAAAAGGCTCATGCTTATAGACCTAGGAAGAAATGGAAATAGTAGGATAATTTGAAGCTATTTTGGGGCTGTTACATATTCTATAGAGATATACATTTAGTTTGACAGATCTGGTTACATTAGAAACCAACTAACTCATAAGAGTTGTCTTAACTCTTAGGTCTGAAATGGGATGAACAGATTGACTGGAAGGATTAAGAAAGGATGCTTAGGGTCTGTTCAGGGTTGGTTTAGGTGGAGGACATGAATAGTATCCTCTGAACCACCAGTGAACCAAAAAGAGTTCCTTTGGAATTCCTACAAAACAATCGGTTTTCCCAATTTAAGATGTTAGAGATGGACTAAGCATCTCAAGTCCAGTGGTTAAAGTAATTACAAGCAGTTTTGTACAGTCCATATTCTTCATATGAACTTTCGCCCTCCTCATTACTCTGTCGGGGTGGTCATGTCACTCTGAGCCAAAGCTTTAGCTCTCTCTGAAGCAGAAGTGTGTGCAGGCCTCAGGCAAGCAGCACACAGCCTGTCCTCTTAGCTGAGTTGAGGAGGCTCACAGAGACTTGGTGGAAACCAAAGCTTAGAGGCTCCTTTCATTACCAAAGGAGATCTCTAGCAAATATCCTTCTGCTCTAACCTAGAAAACATTATGCTGAGAAAGTGACACATGCCTATTTGCTAACACTCCTGGAACAGGACCCATTAGGTGACTTCTCCTGGGCTATACATGGAACAGTGGCAGATGTGAGCTGATGCTCAATAAATGGGATGAAGGCACCTTCTGGGCAGCTCTAAATCATCTTAATTAGGCTACTGGAACCAAGTCTCCAACCACCCCCCAGCCATTCTTATTATTGCTCTAAACTGATTTTTCCCACTCTTCATTCCATACTTAATTTTGAAGAAAAACGGTAGATTCCCACCAGGATTACAACACGGTTGTGACACCAACCTGGCATGATTCAAGATCTAGGCTCCTGGTTTTGTCTTTCAAGTTCTACCCTCAAATAATAAACATTAATTAATTAATTTCTCCCCCGCTCTCCAAGTCTTTGTAGAGCTGGAAACCTATTGACTGTGTGTGTGGGGAGGTGGGTGGGTAGGTGTTGCTATTCATTAGTTCCCCTCAACACCTACACCAAGGGCTGGGAAACGAGGCCTCCTGCCCCCACTGCCTGGTTTTGTATGATCCACACACCAAAAATGACTGTTATACCTAAAAGAGTTGATTAAAAATGAGCATGTGACATGAGTATTAGATTGTAATGAAATTCTAATATCCAAAGGTAAAGTCCTACTTACAACCTCACTTAGGTTTTCAAGAGCTGTTCTTAGCTGAGAACTATGTTGAATAGCTCTGACAGAAAGTATATGGCTTCAAGGTCAAAGGGATTTAGTCTCTAGGCCATTCCAGAAAGTGCGTACCACCCTATCTTCTGCACAGCGGGCAAAGCTCGGTCCTCTGATACCCACCTCTTCAAAGCAGTACTGGGCTTGGCAATAATAAGCAAGAGCTAGCTATAGAACAGAGAATGTGGATTCCCCAAAGCCAAGCATTTCTACTTAAGCCTTTTAATTTCTTAGTTTCATTTTTTCCATCTGTAACATGGAACACTGTCTTCAATGTTAGTATTTGTGTGTGTACCTGTGTGAACATGTATATATACCTATAGGACTCAGCCTTGAGTGTTCCTCAAGCACCACCACCTTGTAATTTTCAGGCAGAGTCTCTTGCTGTCTTGGCTATCATGATTATTACTGAACTCTCACATGAGGCAGAGGCACTGAACAGGCTTTATGGGTGTTTTATACAGAGGTGGAGAGGTTATATATTCTAACTAAGAACTCCAAGAAGAAAGAAGCAACAGGATTGTAACTTGAATCCAGATCTGTTTGCAAAGGTGCCTTGTTATCCAGTTGGAGCCTGGCATTTGCAAGTTTTAAGAATAAAATTTCTGGTCCATCTGTAGAAAGAGAAGCTGGTTCCACGCTTGACCCATACCTTAAGCTCTCTGGCTGAAAATCCTCTCCCCCACCTCACCCACAAACTAAATCTTTGGAAAATCAGAAACTATGTCCTTTTGAAGACATCTCAGATACTTTCCTCATCAGTACCTCAGGTACCAAAAGCAATTTCTTTATTTGCAGAGGACTCTTGGGGAATTTTATCTGCTACTCTACCCTCTCTCATCTCTGCATCATGGACACATTCCTTTAGAATTACACGTGAGGGTGTCTATATCCATACAATATCACAGGCTTCCTCTACCCTTTCCATTCCTAAATCCCTGAGACCTAATATAGAGTTTGACAGAAAGTTGTTAATAAATGTTTATTGCATTAAATACAAGAACTCATCAATTGTCTGAAAATGAGAGCTCATTTCTCTCAGTTCTCCTGGACCATTTTGATTTTAGAATTGTATCTTGGGAAGTCTTCATCTACAACCAAGCCAGACTTACTAGTCACTCAATATGTGTGCTTAGGCCATGTCAATGTCCAGACACACACTTTGAGAACAGGTCCCCTGCAGACTGGAGCTTGACCTGATTAAAGGGATGGAATATTTATTTGGGAGGCTGACTTTCCTCTTCTAATCTTGGAACTTAGTAATCCAGGCTATGCTATACTTATTCATAGGAATTTGCATGACTTGTGAGTCTTTAGGGCAAAGAGAAAAGGCCAGAGAGGTGTAGACCATTCAGAGAGAAAAGAAGAAATAAGCTGGTAGCCACGGGATGGGTACTGACTGGATCTCTGGGTAAACATGGAGCCAGCAAAGGGAGCGTGTCACCAGTTTCTATTTGTAACATCATTATCGCCCAAAAGAGAGCCTTTCCAAGGCAGCCCCTTCTCACCATTCTGCTGTTTTTCTCCTGCTTTATCGCCTTTGGGGTTCTTTCCCTTGTTTGTACGTGCTCCATGGACTTGACCTTTCATTTCTCCTGAAGTCTTTTTCTCAGCTTTGCTTTGTTCAGTTTGGCCTTGGGCTTCCATTTCCTTTTGCTTTTCCTCAGCAGCCAGGCGAGCCTTCTCTTCAGCTTCCTTTTTTGCTTTCTCTTCTACATCCACAGAAATGAGTAAAGAGAAAGAGAGGTCTATTTCAGGTAAACGGCCTTTTTGGAAAAAATAACCATCAACAGTGATGCTCACCGGAACTAGTACACTAAAATGACCTAAGGGACCTCATGCTGGGCACTATGCTCAGCAGTCTTCAAAGGCTGTTCCTGATCATCCTTAAAACTGTTTTCTGAGCCTAATTTATGAGTAGGAAAATCGAGGCTGAGAGACATGATCACACTGTCCCCCAACCACTGTAAAATAAAAATGAAAATACGGCATTTTATGAGGTTTGCTTAGAACTTTCAGCCTAAACATTAACAACTAACTACGGAACAAAAAGTTGGATAAAATAACCATTACTAGAAGACTACAAACACAAGCCAGAGTTTGGGAATTTAAAACTAGGAAGAATGGGATGAAACCTCATAAAACTAAAAGCAAGCAAGGTACTTGACTGTCCTCAGGATGAGGGTAGTCTTCAGTTTGGCCAGGGATCTACTCTGGGTTCTCTTTTTACTGAGCATCCATATTATTTCTAATGTAGTTGACTAACCCTGTGCTTAATGAAAATATAGTATAAGTGCACAATCCAATATTTATGAAAACGCTAGCTCATTCATTTAGCTGCTACTTATTGAGCAGCAATATTGTCAAGAACAATTTTAGAGACTGGGGATATGACAACAAGCATGACAGAAGTATGGAACATATTATAATTAAGTAAACAAATGGCTGAGTTAATTTTGAATGCTGAAAGCGTATTACAAGAATTGAATACAAAGAGACAGTACAGGCTTGACATAGTCATCTCAGGGCAAGAGGTGGCTTTAAACAGAGGGGTGGAGAAGACTTTCTAGAGAAGATATAATTTCACCAATTCCTGAGTGATGAGAAGCTGACTAGAAACATTGGTAGAAACTATAGCATTTATGAGAGAAATCAGACAACATGGATACGGTGAGAGGAATATGCTTGCTGGGTTCATGGATGTTGAACTTGCCCAAAGGAGATTTGGTAAGGAGTCAGTCACAGATAAAATGCTCAACTGACCAAGAACAGGAACAGAACAGATCATGGAGGCTGAAGGGCAAATAGCAGGTCTGTGCTGTAGAGAACATCATCCTCCACTAATGAAAGCATTATTATATTTTCCTCTTGATGAGTACAACACTCCTCACTTCTCATTACCAGGGAGTCCCTGTCTTCCACTTGGGTTAGTGTTGGTCTTTGAGCTGTTTTCATACAGCATGATTGCTTTAATATAATGAACACCATAGAGCCTATGCATCTGATATTTCTTTTTTGTGCCAACTGCTAACACACCCCAAGTCCATTCTGGCCCAGTCTGGTGGGTTCATACAGCTCTAGGATGTGGATTTTGTCGGTGTTCATGATGCCCAGCTTGAGTTTTGCTTTGTATGCCCTTGTACTTGTTTATCCCAGGTGTCTTCTTTAATACAGCATGACATTTTTATTCATCATTTCACTTATCCAGCAATCTATCCATCTGATAACTCATTCATCCTCTCATCTAAATCAATGACCTGGCCTCATCTCAAGCAAATTTAATCAGAGCGTAAAAAAAACAGGTATAGGATGGGATATCTCAAATGTTTCCTTAGTAATTTTGGCACACAGCAAGTACGGAGAAGCTCTTATATAACGTCTAAGTATTAACCATTCAGTGTGTTATGACATTCTTCTCCTTAACAAGATATATTTATGATCTACTATGAAAGGGTATAAAATATATCTTTACAAATAACTATTATAAGCAAAACTATCACAGTGCAACTTCTGACTTCCACAAAAAATGTAAACTAAAAAGTAAAAAAATGACAATAAGAAGATGGTGGGTTGACATTCCAAGGAGGTTATCAAGCATGGGGGTTTCCTAGAACATTCCTTCAAGCTTCCTTATATCCTTAGGTGTTTTTAGGATAGGGCAAATATCACACCCATCACTGGTTGGCATAGTACATATCACATATCATGTGCACCTGAAGGTTTTGATGAAGCCAAGACATGCTGCCCATGAACTAACAGTGTAACCTAGCACCTTAGATTGATACAACACCAAAGTATACAGACTCTCTGGTCCTGTTCTGAAAATAATATTTGGCAAACATTAGCTTCTTTGACTTATAATATAGGTAAGTAAAAACATAACTTATTTTCCTGTAATACTCATAGATCAGTGCCTTGCTCAGTCATTATCAGAAAAGCTTCTGCCTGCATCAGATGAGAACAAATACAGAGACCACAGCCAGGTGATATGCAGAGAGTGCGAAACCATGGAACACTCAGCTCTAAATGGGATATTGCTACCAAACCCTCCCCTCAGGGCTCAGGGAAACCATCAGTAGAGGACTCAGAAAGAGTGTAAGAGTCAGAGAGGATGGAGGACACCCAGGAAGCAAGGGCTTCTAAATTAACATGATCAATGCACATATGAACTCATGGAGACTGAGGCAGCATGCTCAGGGCATGCCCAAGTCTGCCCCAGGTCCTCTGCATATATATTATGGCTTCCAGTTTAGTGTTTTTATGAGGTTCCTGAACATGAGAACAAGTGGGTCTCTGATGCTTGCACCTTCTCCTTGTTTGTCTTGTCCAACCCTAATGTGATAGCTTTGGTTTTACCATATTATATTGTGCTGTATCTTTTTTTTAAAAAAGATGACTGTTTTCATTATACAAAGGGCAACAGAAGCAAGAGAGGCAGAGTCATTCATAGTTAGAATGCACAATCAGAGAAGATTAGCTATGGCTGCCTTCACAGAATCATTACTGAGAACATGGCAAACTTCCAACACTCGAAATGTCTCCAAGTTGAAAATCATTTAAATAAAAGCTGAAGCTATTAAATTGTACTTTACTATGGAAGACCATACCATGTTATCTCAGAAAGAAAAACTCATTTGACAACTGAGTCAGACTAATTTTTCATGGGAGATGTAGAAAAACAACTGAGAAGAAGGGGGAGGAAACACTTCCGAGGCAAGTCTGTTTTTGCTTCAGTGTAACTGACAAGGAAAAGTTACTTTAAATTAACAGACGATAGCTCTTATTACAACATGATCAAATCAGATAGGAGCCTGGCCCACAGTATGAATCTCTTCTGTGCAACAACCTTCTAGTAAATTCTAGCCATGGCCCCACAATGCTCTCTGGCTTGTCTATTCACCCTCTGCCTCTGCCGTGTGTGTGTGTGTGTGTGTGTGTGTGTGTGTGTGTGTGTGTGTGTGATCAGTCACCATGTATACAAAGAGATACTAAGGAAGACAAAGAGACAATAATCAACATATACAAGACTAAACTCATATACATGTACACTATATATCATATGTGATACGTTATCATGTTTATTGAGACTCACTGTCCAATAAAGAAACTTAGAGAGGTTTTTGAGAGTAATGTAGGTGGTATTAATAGAGACTCAGCAAAGACAGTGGCATGTGACAAACTAGGGCTGGATAGAAACTGTGGAGTACTTTGACAACTAATATATTATCTTTAATATGTAAAAATTAGCTGTGACTCAATGATAAAAATATGAATATCCTAATGGGAAATGATAGTAGAGACAGGCCAGTTTCACTGATCTTGCATCTGAGTGACAAAATTTGGTTGTAAAAATAAAAAAGGAATTCAACACCAAAAAAATTAAAGTCCTTATCTCTGTTGTCAGAAGAATCCCATACGGTTGCTTGAACTTTCATGTTTATAACTTTATTACATGCTGCAATGACCTGGAACCCTAACACTCAGTAATGAAGGAATATCACAATGATTGTGTCCCAGATATTATATCAGAATATTCAGGATCAGAGGGAAAATGTCCTTGATAGAAAATAAGAGTAGAATGTAAGTGGCCATATACGCAGCTTAGTAAAACTAGTTAGGCTCGGAGCATGACCAAGAGTTACTGACAGCTAGGGTAGGGTAGGGTAGAATTTTATTCTCTTCTTCATACATATTTTAAGTAGTTCATCATTTGTAATCTGCACACATTATTCCATTAGCAGGAAGTGAATGTGTTAAAAGTATTAAGTCACGGGTGGAAATTAATAAATATAAACACTATTTATCAAGTGTTAACACCCATAAATTTTAGATTGGAAATGATGCTTGATCCAGGAAAATACACAAAGTATTGATTAAATTTCTCCTAACCAACATGGATTCTACAGAACTTCATAATTCAAGTTGGATAACATAAACTGAATTTTATCTTATTTCTTAACAATATGTGTTCAAATGCCCATAGAAGGCAGCTTTTCTCAAAATTAATGTCCTTGGGGGTTAAAAAAAAAAAGTGATAAAAACAGCCTGGGATCACTTACTCAAACTGACCATTACCAATGAAACCGCTAACCAGATTTCTGCTCCATACCAGTCCATCCATGAACAGCACAACTCTGAGATGGAAAGTGTGAGCTGTGTTGAGATGACACCGTCACGGCCAGTGTTTTGACCCCGCTACACATGACCAATCTCCTCTCTCTCCACTGTGTTTAAACAGCAGCTAATACTTGCCAAGCTCCACCCAGGCCAGCTCTGTTCCCGGTGCTCTCCATATGTTGTTCAGTTCTTGGTGATAGCTCTGAAATGTACAGGACCATGTCCAGAACAGAGTCTCAAAGAACCTCCCAGAATGAAATTGTACAAGTTGGGATTCAAGTCTCCATTTCCCTCATAACTAAATGTGTCCTCCATAACTAAGCTATGTATCTCTAAATACATGTAACCTAGGGACCGTGCCTTGTTCCTTTTGCTTCAATGTGCACATTATCTTCTTTCTTTTGTGTGTATGCTTATGCATTTGTGTGTGTGTGTGTGTGTGTGTGTGTGTGTGTGTGTGTGTGTGTGTGTGTGTTCCTCAAGTGCTAACCACCTTTTTTCATCCCCAAGACAGGATCTTTCACTGACCTACAGCTCTTTATATGGGATAGGCTGGCTAGGCAGTGAGCTCAAGTGAGCAGCATATCTCTGCTTCCTCATTACTGGGATTATAAATACATACCACCATGCAGGCTTTCTTTATAAGGTTGTTATCACATGGGCTATCCCCTCTGCCCATCCTGATTCCATTTCTAACACCATCAGGCAAATCCCAGTGTCCTTCAAATTCTGCCTACTGGATGTCTTCCCAAAGGCCCCAAGCATGGTTAGGGATGAGTCCTTTCATGTTGCTTAAAATAGTTACCGTACCTCTAGTTACAAAGCTAGTACATTTTAAATTGATGAGGTGTTTATCTGTCCTTTTGAAAGGACCAGCTATTCCTTGGAAAAGAAGCCATTTAACATTTCCCCAGGGGATTAGTTCAGAAGGTAATTTCAGTAACAAAGATAATTGCAAACAAATGATTTTGAATGACCTCTTTAAATTGTGTTTTGTCAGAAAGTGGATGTGCACATGTAATGATCATGGGAGAGTGTTCTTCTGCTGGTGGTGTAGCCTGCCAACATGGAGGATTTAAATGCTTGATACATATGAATGGACCCTGAGTGCTTACAATTAAAATATAGAGCAGCTGTTGGAGTCATCTATAGCTCAGGGTATGACATCTGTTCTCTAAATGATAATGTTCAATTTTGCCCCAAGAATGCAATAAATCTAAAACCCCTTGCCTTACCTGTAATGGTTTTTGCAGCATTTTGCTGGAAGGTCAGTTTCTGGCCTTTGAAACAACCAAGCTAAAGGGTGCTTCTCTCCCCCTGGTGTGGGAGCTGCAGAGCCTCCATCTAAGACTTAGAGTTGTCCCCTAGCTTTCATGAATTGAACCACTAATCCCTGAATTTAAATACTGATTGAAAGTGAGGGCTTTAGGAGGTAAGGAGGACTAGACCATACCTCAAGGGTGAGGGCTCCACAATGACATTAGTTGGCTTATAGGCTTAGAGATTCAAGTTTCATCACTGGCTCTGCCTCTTCATGGGATGCCAGATACCAACATCATTCTCTTGACTCTTTATAAATTACTGAGTATCAAATACTTTGTTATAGCAACAGAAAATACCCCAAGACATTAACTGTCCTATCTTCTTCCCACATGTGATGACATAGCAGAGTGACAGGACAAAGTCTCAACAACCTTGGCTGCTTGGGAGGTTTGAGGCTCAGGGATATTGATATTAAGTACCAGGTCTTGATTGAATTCTTACTCATTCTTGTATCAAACCCTTACACAATGATCAGCTCCTCATGTTGTGGTGATGCCCAACCATAAAATTATTTTGTGACTATATCATACCTATACTTTTGTTACTCTTATGAATCATAATGTAAATATATAATGCATAATATCTGATATACAACCCCTGTGAAAGGGTTGTTTGACCCCCCCAAAGGGTCATGACTCACAGGTTGATACCTACTACTCTAACTTAAGAGCCCCTTCTCATGAACCCAGAATATAGGGATATCCATACCAACCCTTGGTACTGGGCGTGGAGGCTAGAAGATAGATGGCATAGAGCAGGTGCCAGCAGACACTGAGGGCTATTGGGGTTCGCCTCTGCAAAGCCTGCTGCAATCAGCCCTATAACTGAGCGTGAAGAGCCATTTCACATGTGTCACCTTCCCTGAAATCTGGCATCACAGATCCATGCGCTCTCTGAGTGTGTGTACCTCGCCACCTAACAGTGTGAAGGTGTCCTAGGTGCCAGTCATGCTCAGTAATGCCAGCAAATGTGAGCTTATGAATTAAGCTCCACGAAGCATCGGTTTTCATATTTCTGTATATAATAACAGGAGCGACAGCTTTTCTGATCTGAACTTTGATGAGATTTGCTTCAGGAAATTTCAGTTTACTTATAAGTTATTATCACCCCTAAAAACAAACAAACAACATAAGATGCATGGTTGGAGCAATGAGTAGAAGAAAGCCCTGAATATGACAGGATGTTTGAAGTTCCTGGAAGGAAATTAAAGTTCCTCATACCCTAACACAAAAGGCAAGCTGCTGTTGATGGGCTTTAGCTAGGTAAATGAGGACAGAAAGACTTTGCAGTTGTGCCTGCTGACATGAAATGTAACACTAGCAGACTGGCAAATGCTAATCCCAGGCACGTAGAACTCTACACTGGAAAGAGGTTTAGTTCATCACACAAGGACATGGAGTGGAGATGCTTGGAGGTCTACCACATTTTATCATGCATTCAGTCAGTGTTGGACAGGATGAAACTTGGCAGATGGTACCACCCAGCATTCAACACCTCCAGGCCCTGGAACAATGTGCTTTACTTGAAAGGCCTGTAAACCACAGGAAGGAGCCACTTGTTTTGAGTATGTCTGGATAATTCTAGAAGATTCTTCCTGAAGAGCACATTACCTTTGGGCACCTTAGCCCTCCACCGCTCCCGATTAATGTGCACCACCTCAGTCCAGGTGGTTTTAAAACTCTTATAGTCAACAGGGATGACAGAATTGTTGATGGGAGCACTTCCTTCTGACCCAGAACTCTTGACACCTGATCGCTTTGCATCTGAGGCGTTGATGTTGTTCAAACTGGAGGGCAAAAGAAATCACACCGAAGATGAGTGTTAGTGTCTACAGCATGCAGGCACTGAGAAAGCCCACAAAAGACTGGGCAATACTGGCTGAGTTGCCATCATGATATCTTCAGGCCCTGGGGTTTGTGGAGATGCAGCTTCACATATAAGACAGGTAGGAAATTCTAAGATCTAGCAGAAAACAATGCAAACATTCTCATGTGTTCACAGTATTCTTTACCTCCTTCTATGCTGACTGGGCATTCTCTCTCTCTCTCTCTCTCTCTCTCTCTCTCTCTCTCTCTCTCTGTGTGTGTGTGTGTGTGTGTGTATGTGTGTGTACGCACGTGCGCATACATACGTATGTGTCTGGTACCTTCAGTCCCTTGGCATTTATTTTTTCTGTTTTATTCTTTTTAAATGAACAAAATTAAACTTAGAGTTATATTTACTTCATGGTGCTACCTGCTACCACACTGATCACCTTTCCTAGTTACTCAGCAAACTGGTCCCTTTTGTCCAGCTCTACCATCCTCCTGGACTCAAGATCCCTCTAATTTTATGAGTATTATACTTTATTTATTTATATGCACATGCCAAGGCACACATCTGGAAGCTAGAGAACAATACCCAGGAAGTGTTTTCTTCTTTGATCATGTGGGTCCTGTGGATCAAACTTGGATCAAAAGGCTTGATGGCAAGTACCTTTACCATTTTACTGATCTTTAGAATTCCTCTAGTCTTGGTTCCCCAGCCCAGAAAAAAGCAATAATTTCCTTGTGTTTCTTAGGGATGGTGGATGACCAAACAATGCCAAAGATCTAATTTTAAATGAATTCTACTTTGTGCTTTAATCACAGGATTTGTTGCCAGTATCCAAAGATAGCATTCTTCTGATGAAGAATTGTATGTTCTTAGGTAGCTATACTATTTACTGCCATAAGTAAGATCCATTAAATAATAATGAAGGATTACTAGAGTCCATTTTAGCCAAGACCCAAAGAGCTAAGAATGCATGTAGACTTATCAAAGGCTCTGTCCTTGCTTGCTTTAAGCTACTTAGAATTCCTCTTTCTTTACTTTCTCCCTATTTACTTATTTCTCTGCTCATTTCTTCTCATATTTTATAAGCAATTCTACCTACATCCTTTATAACAAAGCTCAAAGTTTGCAAAGATGTGGAGGTAAGCTATCATTACAATGGGGTTAGCAACAGCTACTAGTCATCCTAGGAATGATGAAGTGGTGGTGATGGTGGTATTGATGCTGATTATGATGGTGGTGGTGATGGTGGTGGTGATGGTAGTGGTGGTGATGGTCATGGTGGTGATGGTTGTTGTGGTGGTGGTGGTGGTGATGGTGGTGGTGATGATGGTAGTGATGACAATGGTTGTTGTGGTGGTGGTGGTGGTGATGGTGGTGGTGATGTTGGTGGTAGTAGTGGAGGTTGTAGTGATGGTGAGGTGATGGTGGTTGAGGTGGTGGTGACAGTATTTTTGGTGGTGGTAGTGGTAATGGCTATGCTAATGTAATGGTGGTGGCAAGAGCAGAGGTGATAGCAGCTGTAGTAGCAGAATCAGCAATATCAATAAAAATTAAATGCCAGCTTAACTGTAGTCTGCACTTCTACCATGACAGTCCCTCCAATGATCTAATAAACACTGAATATTATTCAATTAACCTGTGAGTACGATAACCTTACTTTCTCACAAGTGACCTGAATGTGAGCTGAGTTTAACTGCTTATCTAGAATCATCTAGGAAAAGTCTCAATGAGGGATTATCTAGATCAAGTTTATCAGTCTGAAGACCGGTGGGCCATGATATTAATTGTTGTGGGACAGCGAAGCCCAGTGTGGGTGGGTTTGGGTCTCGGACTGTACAAAAGAGGAAAAAGTGAAGTGGGTGTCAATCTACATGAACTGATTCTTTCTGCTCTTGAGTATGGATGTGACTAGCTGCGTCAAGTTCCTGCCTTGGCTTCCCCACAATGAAAGACTATAGCCGGGAATTGTAAGCTGAATAAACTCTTCCTTCTGTCACAGCCTCAGGGAAGGAAACTAGGGCAGTGAGCTGACTTATATGAGACTACACAGGTTAATAAGCAGCAGAGTCTGGATGTTAAGCCTGAACTCTGGCTCGAGAGTCTGGCCTTTCACTGTTGTTCTACGTTTGGTGTCTTTGTGCATTAGGCTGTGACCCAGGGCACTAGAAAGCATTTAAGTTTGAGGTGTTTTGTTACATATTTTTTAAAATCTGTACTCCACTTTCTTCCTGAATAGAAACGAAAGTCAGCTTTGTTTCTTGTAAGAACCCTGAACAAAAGCACCACCATCTGCAGAATGAGGAACACGGGCTTTCTATGCACCGCAGGAGGAGTGTAGTGATGAGTGTTGCTGGAAGCTAAGGCCTCAGAGAGTGGGGCCATCTCACTCTGCCCTTGGACCACTGTTACAGGCCTAGAGAGCACAGATAGCATCATTCCAAATCCTCTTAAAGAAAGAAGGAGACAGGCATGGCTCCTGTAAGAAGTAGAAGAGGTATAGCTCATTGTGATACCACACATCCCCCAACAGCAGAATTCCCTCCCCACCCAGCTTTCAAACTTCCCCACTGACCTTGAGCGCCTCTGGCCTGTCCCACCAGTCTGGGAGGTTTCATCGATTAATGGACTCACAATCTTTTCAGTCATATCAGTGAGCACAGTGAAGGTGGGTTCCACAATGAAGTCAATAAAACCTGCAGGGAAGCAGCAGTGGCTCAGATAACAGTATGCTCACAGGGACCTGCCCATGTTTTCCAGTAGAAACCAATTAGTCTGTCCACAACCAACCAACCAAAAAATACACCACATCTACATGGGAGCCCCCAATCAGCCAAGAGCCAGTTGGTCTCATTCTTATTGAATGTCATGAGTCAGTTTCATTTCCCCTATATAATTTCCTTAGGACTTCTTAATAAGTGATTCAACTGAATGCTTAAAAACACAATTTAACACCTGCTATGTAACAAGCACTGTGATGCACTTTGTAAAAGGTGGAAGATGAATAATTCAGCCTAGCAGCCCTCAAGGAATTTATAGGTAAGAGTTAATGGGCACAAAAAAATGACCCCTAGAGTTTCTGCAGGGCCAAAGGAGAAGCCCAGATGAAGGCTCTTGGGAAAGAAATAGAAGGGACAGGAGATGTTTTTGCTCCTACAGAGACCAGTGAGCGGGTGTGTGGAGGTTGTGTGTTGGAGCTGAGCTCTCAAGGATGGGTGGCAAGAACAATGTGGTTATTCACTCTGGGTAGAGGGATTTGTAGAGGTGGAAAATTATGCAGGTGTCTGCAAAATGACTGGGGTGTAGGGACTGCTTTAAACTTGGAATAAACGTTTGAGGAGGCTAGTTATCCAGAGTGCAGGGAAGAAAGCTCCTGGGGGAGAAGTACTGGGCTGGCCTGATGATATCTGGGCAGCTTTGTGATGATATATTTGCATGAACTTTGATACAGTCTATGCAGCAAGAGGCAATGAGGAAGAAAGACAGAGGGTGTGAAAATCTTGGGAGGAGTTTTGGAACAGCTCAAACAGAAGGTGAGAAATGGAGGACCTGAGCTGCTGTAGAGTGGACACCAAAGGCACACATAGCAAACAAAGCTCAGGAAGCAGCTTTGCTCTAGAGGGTTCTCTCCCAGAGGCTCCAGCAACAAAGCAGAAGCAGAAAAAGGAAAGAAGACAGAGGATGGGCTGCAAGCTGCTGACCTGAGATACAGGAGGCAGAGCCACAGGAGAACTGTTAAGAAAGGCCTGGAAACTTCGTTAGAGTCATTGCTGCAGTGACATCTCTTAAGATGGAGAGAAAGCAAAAGCTGGCTTCCAGTAATTGTCATAACTCAAAAACAGCAGCAACAACAACAACAAACAGGCAGACAAAAAAAACACAACAAGAAAGAAAGGAAAAAAGAAAGGAAGGAAGGAAGAAAGAAAGAAAGAAAGAAAGAAAGGAAAACGAAAGGAAGGAAAAAAGAAAGGAAGGAAGGAAGAAATGAAAAAAGAAAGAAAGGAAGAAAGGAAGGAAGGAAAAAAGAAAGAAAGAAAGGAAGAAAGAAAGGAAAAAAGGAAGGAAGGAAGAAAACTAGATGGATATTTGTGACACACTGAAAATATCACACACACTGGCACTAACAGGGATGGAAGTAAGTCATCCATAGTCACACATAAGGATGGAAACAAATCCCACTAAGGATGTCACTGCCTACTCCTTGAGTGGGTATCTGGAAATGTAGGGATGAACGTTTAGCTTTCACAGTTTCTAAGGGGATAGGGGTACTAGTGTTGATACTCAGCAGAGAAGGATGCCAAATATCTTGTAGTATAACCTTCAAAAAAAAAAAGGACTGTCTACTTAGTAAGGAAACACTGGTACAAACTTTGTTTGCAGTTCACTACAATTAATTCTGAGCTCAAACTGCAGTATCTGAGGACACACAGAATTCTTTTGATAAGCCCCCATTTCCCACAGGAAAGTATAAGCATGTGTGCTATTCATGGCACAATGTAAACTCCTGGCCTGATTTTTCTTTATAGTGTCTGTCACTGCATCCTTCTTCGTACCCAGTGCTCCTTCCATATTGGAGCTATTGGGAATTCACTAACCATAGGAAGCAGTTTTTAATCTCTCTGCTTTCTCTATTTCCTATCTGTGGTGTCATTTTATCCACCACTAAGCGATTGCTAACACGTACCACTATCAATCACTACCTGCCTAGCCACTACTTGAACACTTCCTTAGATATAGCTTAAATACCAGCCCTTAATATGTCTGTGTGCACTACTGAGTCTAGTGGTTCTCAAGCTGTCTATGTATTCCACTGTAGGATGTTAATAATTCTATTTTAACATGCATAATGTTCTAGCATTCCTTGTTTTCGTAACATCTCGCCCACTATCTAATACTGGTTTAATAATATCTTTAAAAGCAGGTACCATGTAGAGTTAGTGTTTGACTTGATGACCCATCAGGAACCCAAGACACATCATGATGAAACAAGGAAAACCATCAATGACTAGATATAGTTCAAGCAGTTACCAGACACGGTGGCACACTTTCTCAATATTAGCATCTGGGACTCAAAGGCAAGAAGTCAGTAGGCTGTACAGTCAGTTCATGGCCAGCCTGGACTCAAGTTTAGCTTCAGCCAAATGGCTGGTTTGTGTCCAGCCTGCATTACAGGAGACACTATCCCTGTTCCCAATGTGGACAAGTAGAAACGGCAGCATTCTTTATCAAATTGACTTTTGAGTGATCACAGACTCATGACATTTATTTTATGCATAATGGGTGACACTGTTTTTCTCTCCCACAGGTGAGGGGTTTTGTAATGCATGTATTATGGTAATTCTTTCTTTGTACTGAAGAAAAGGTGTGAGGAAACCAAAACAATTTTTAAGAGGAGTAAAATCCTAAACTGAAGGAGAAGGTGGAGGAGGAAGAAGAAGAGGAGGAGGAGGAGGAGGAGGAGAAGATCATTATCTCAGGGAACTCCCTTTCCCCCTTTCCTTTTGGCAGGAATGATGGAGACCCCAAAGTTCCTCCATCTAATTTCCACTCCCAGAGCGAGCCACAGTCCAGAGAGAATGATGTCCCTTCAGCCTGCCCAAGGCTGGCATCAGTGACCCAGAGCCCCATCTGGGATCACCGAGCACAGCGGCCCTACCAGGTGTGCTATCCGATGCTCCATCCAAGAAGCTGGTAAATACCCACCTACTTGTGACTGAGCCACCATGGTTGACTTCCTGTCACACAGAGGAGAAAATGGCAGCCCCAGCTCTGCTTCTCTGTCACCCTAGGAAAACGGAAGGTCACAGTAAACAAAAGAACAGTGGGCTGAGTGGCCCAGATTTTATTTAGCAACCTCAGCTACCACTTAGGCCACTTATCATCTTAATTATTACAATTACATTGTATAATGAGTCCTGGTGGGGCCTGCTCCTTTAAACAAAGGACACCAAGAAGTGGTGGCTTCTGGAGAGCAATCATTCCTTCTCAATGCAAAGTCTCATGCTGTCCCTAAGAAAGCATCACTGGGCAGCAGTAGGTTCCCCATGGAAAACCAGGCAGTGGTCCATGTGTCCCGTGGCCTAGAGCCAACATCACAGTCAGAATGGCTGCGTTCCCCACAATTTTCCTGAGGCTACCTGTGGCCCTCTTCTAGTCACTGAACTCCCAGCGGTGAGCAGTGTCCAAAAGGGAAATTCAAGCTGCCTGGCATGGCTTTGTCTCCTAACATTACCTAAAGCCGCACACAGAGAGTGTTTCTGTGTTTCCCGCTCTAACACTTGATGCACAGTGAAAAGTGGACTGGAAAGAACTAGTTATTAGACAACAATACAGCATGACCGTTCCTACAAAATATTCTCCATGGTACCCAAAAGTGCCACTCTAACACAAGTGCTATGGGATGCCTAACTGTTGGTGAAGATGGCTTTCAACAACATGAAACACGAGTTGAATCTTTCTGTCATGTCCAGAAAGGAAAAGAACATCTCTCCTCATGCCTATCGGTGGACTATGTTTTCCTTTTCTTGAAGGAAGAAGCTCACTCAGGATAATGGCTACCAGTCTGTGCTTGAATCCTGCCTTGTTCTGTGGCCTGTGGTCCTAGAAAAGTCACTATTTCACAACTTTCCATCTGTTAAATGTGGGATAACAATCCAAATCTAAAGGGCTTGCCATAAGGCAAAATGAGAAAAAGACATATAAGCACATAAAAAGAACTACTAAAAGAATTACTGTTGCCATAGAGGCAACCATATTTGTAGTCAAGCTTTGAGAAACACAGAGTGAATTTGCTCCTACTAGCACACTTTAATTGTAATGAACACTACCAATAAATTAGTAGCACTCAGAAACCATAGTAGCCTGCAGCTAAGACTGTTCCAACCTCTGAATGCTTATTTCTCAGTACTGTCACCAATGAGTCAGGTAAGAATTCTGTCAAAAGCATGAGGTGGACTTTTAAGAGTCTTTATATTGGTCAGAGCTATTGCATACTATGAGAACCTAATAGCTACAAAGAGTCAAGAACAAAATGACATAAAATTAGCAGTTATGAAGCAAAATGTCTAATGCACACAGAGAGGAACTAATAGAAACAACTGTCAGCCTGTGCAGTTCACATATTTAAAAATTATATATACGATCTAAGTTATTTATCTGACACAGTGAAGAAGGCAAATTGCTATGGTTGAATATAAAATGTATTGACAACTCTCTCCCCAGCTAGTATAATGGATTCAATACTGGTGAGTTCATAGCTGAATGGGCTTGGATGACGTGGGTCACTAGGAGCTCATCTTTAGAGAGTACATCACATGTCCTCAGAACTTTCTTCTCTGGCTCACTTGGCTTCCTGGTCACCAGTAAGGGAATGGTATTATTTTCCCTGACAGTATACCATGATTGATGTTTCTGTCTTGCCATAGGCCTAAATACAATGGAGCAAGCTAATTAAATACTGAAACCTCTGCAACTATGAGCCCACATATGCCTTCCCTCTTTTAAGTTCATATTCTCTGATATTTGTCACAGTAGTAGACTATCATATAGATACATGTGATATTATTTTGACTGTGTGCTGAGAATAAGACACAGAAGTCTCCCATGATCCACAGATATTCACAAAGGCGCTATATAAATAAATTTAATTTAAGTCCCAAGCAATAGCTAATTATTTGCTCAATAAAAACAAAGTAATTTGGAATCTATTAAATGAAGAGAAATATCATTAAAACATATAGAAAAGCTGGAAAAATATTCTATTTGAGGTAACTCTTGGCTAAAAGAAGAAGAAAAATCCGATTTAATGGTCAGTCACTAAAGACTGCTTTGGGCACAGTGTGTCAGAAGCAGCAATAAGTAAGTGAAAATTAAAGCAAATGAAGTGAGCATCAAATTCAGAGAGTTAGAAAAATCAAAGTAAATGAGGTGAATAAAGGTGAAAACACCATCGCTAAAGAAGAAAGCAACATGAAACTAATAACAATTTTGTAGGGGAGAGAGGCAAAAATTCAACAATACATATGAAATAAGGAAATAAGGAATAAGGAAACACCCACAGAAATGAAAAGAAATGAAGAAATGAAATGAATGATGAAAGATATTTCCAAAATGTAAAAGGATACAGTGATACAAAGAAAACGAACACTGAAACTTTTCAGAACAAGATGGATTTACCAAGGCAGAAATACATTTTCGAAGTCTGTGTTACATTTAAAAGCAACTCATGGTTGTGGCATGGACTCTGTAGAACATGCTTATAAAGATTAAGATTGGACTCCCTTCTTCAAAAGAGCAAGGATGCCTGGACTGTGTTCCCAGGGACTAGCTATCTCATTATTTTGAAATATAGTCCAACTTTCTGAAAATAATTTTCAAAAGCTTCTCTGGTCTCATTGGGATTTCCCAATGGGAACTGTCCAATTTTAAAGCTAACACTAAGATCTGGGAAACCATTCCTCCTTTCATAGGTTACCTGCTATGCTTTGGCATCTGGATTAAGACAATAAAGACCCTTTACTGAATTACATTCAATAAAACCAGTTCAATTCTAGTCATTAGTCCCTGGCTGCAAAGCAGTTGGAATAAAGCCCTAATGGACAGTTTGGGGCTTTTGTAACTGTTAACTCTAGTCCCACTTACTACCAGACAATGTGTACAGTTTGAAAATATAAAGATAATTGCACATATAAATTCTTGTGCAATTATTTCCACATTCAAACAATAATCACAAGAGTAAGAGCATCAGGAGAATGCCATGCCTAAGCCCACGGTAACCAGTATGCCAGTGTGTCCCCACAGCTAAGATGCTGGAGACTTCCTCCTCAAACTTATGTGTTCATAGTATTTAGAGGCAAAGCCTTTGGGAGGCAGCATGGATTAGCCAAATCATGAGAGTGGGTGACTGATAGCATGTGAAGGAAGGTGCCTGTGACCTTAAACAGAGAGACCAGAGCTAACACACTTGTCCTGTGATGTACCCAACACATAGGCTTACCAGATGTCAATGGCAGGATAATAGAGTTCTGGGTTCCAAATCCATGATCTAGGTAGATTTTTATTCTTTATAAATTATCCTGCCGCATGTATGGTATTATAGCAACAGAAAATGCAGGAAAGCTCAAAGAAGGAACCCACCCCTAGTCATTTGAGGGTACAATGGTCTTGGTGATATGTACTTGTTTCCTTTTTGTTATGAATTCACATGTGTGTATTTGTGTTAATGGAATGCATTCTTACTAAAGACTGTCTATTCTATATAGATAACATGATGCTGGGTTGAAGACGTAATTTATTTAAGTGCAATTGAGCAATAATTCTTAGTTATTTTTTAACTCCAACTTGCTTTATCTTAATTTTGTAACAATGTGTCTGTCACAGCTCATCCATCAAAAGAAACAACCTACTCAATAATAAGAGACATGAGTTATCAGCTTAGTCCCACGGGGCAATACCAAAATAACTTTAATAACCTTTTTGGTAACTCATTAGGAAAAGTTCTCTTCAAATGACACTTAGACAAGAGAATGCCAAAGGAAACACTTTTCTTCTAAGCAGAAATGCCTCAGTCAGAATGCAATGCATTTCACAATATCCCAACAATCAGAATTTAGGTAAAACTCAAGCATTACACATGCAGAAATAAAACAACCACGAAAAGCCCCTTTCTCCAAAGAAAATAAACATGTCCTTCTTGATCCTTGCCATAGAGGTGCTGAAATATTCTATTCCCAAAATATCCAAAACCAGCCCTGGTGAGCAGCAAGGGACAAAGTACCTGTCTGAAGAACTCCTCCAGGAGAGACATGGTCCAGCGATGGTGCAGATCCCATGCTTTTGCAGGATGGCTGATGTCTGCTGTGTGCAGCATCAGGGATAAGGCTTTTGGCTTCTCAATTCTGCAAACGCAACACATGCAAGCAGCCAGTGACCACACACCTCAAACACTGGAAGTTTCAAAAATCTTTAAATTACCTTACTCATCCACATAAAATACCAGTTGGCACTGAATCGAGGAAAGGGCAAATGGCCCCTAAGTACTGCCAACATGTGAGTGGCCAACATTTCAGTATTTACTTCTCATTTAACCAATTAATAGAATGGCTGCACTTTTCAACCAGATTGCAAAAATCTTAACAGTATTTAAGTTAGCTGCACATTTAGAAGAACTTTGATCATTTAACTGCTAACTGGAGCCAACTGATATCAACTCTGATTCTGATAAACCTCTAATTATGAGATACTGTATGATGTTCAAGTCCCTTGCTCCACACATCACTACTTTCTGAGCTAACCCAATCTTCCCAAAGGTGACTCATTTTCACTGTATAAAATGTGCAGGCCTCAGTCCAAGCCCTATGAGGAGATGATGTCACAGGCTACTCACGCTTCTGGCTGCTGCAGGGCTGTCTTCATGGCTTTGATTTGCTGGAAATGACAGGACATATCTGTGGCCATTACCATCTCAATTACTAAGGTTCGAAACTCCCTTTTGGGGACACCCATGAAGAAGTCATGAAAACAAAGAAAAAAAGCACAAGTTATTTTTTGCCACATTTAGTCAAAAATCAGTTCATTGTTTCAGGCATTTCAAATCTAATGCCAGTCTTCCCAGTGGAATTTTTATGTGGGATATAAATGAAGGTTAAGGACTGAAGAATAATTTATAAGGAATATGATACAGGGGGACATAGAGATTGCTCAGTACGTAAAGGGCATTTAATCTTCTGGCAGAGGTTCGGAGTTCAATTCTGAGACCTACATCAGAGACCACCTCACTGAACACTGACATTCATGTTTGTATACCTATGCACAGATTCTAACCCATGCACAGAATTTACAAATAAAATATCCTTACAAAAGAATATGACACATCTGTCATTTTGGAATATTAACCTACGGGGAAAGTTACGGTGAAGCTGAAATATGAATTGACGTGTTCTCAGTTGAATTCATTTTTAAGATAAAACTAATGAAATAGTTTAAGAAACTACACTGATAGTCTCCTGGGCACTTTGTGTATTCAACATTTAAAATCAGGCTTTTTTAAAAAGAGTTCTTTTAGGCTTACAGAAAAAAATGGAGCAGCATATATCCCCTCTCCTGTAGTTTCCTCAATCAACAGACATTCTATGCTCATGTGGAGGCCACAAGTTACAACCGATGAATCAATGTTTAACAGATTTATTAAATGAAGTTCACAGCTCACTTAGGGTTCACTCATCTTTGCACAGTTCCATGGGATTTGACAAATGCCCCTGTCGTGTGTCTGTATATCAGCATCACACAGAATGATTTCTGCATCCATAATTTTCCTGTTGTTCCCTCCCTCCCCCAAACGCCTGAGAGTTGCTAGAAGCTATACCTAACCAACAACTGCACTGAGGTATAATTTACATAGAACAAACGGCTCCTATAGAAATGGCGTGGTTCAACCACTGAATAAGCCTTTGAAAACATCATTACATTCACAATAACAAATACTTTCATTTCTTTCAAGCAGTCCCACTTTCTACTTCTAAATATGTATATGTGTATGTTTGTAATGTTAATATATATGAATGCATATTGAAATGACAAACATATAAGCATGTTATACATGTATACATATATACCATATTTTACATACAATACACAAATACATACTTATACGTATATAAAACTAAATGTTCTCTTTCGTCTGAGTTCCTTTCCAAGGCATGGGGATTTGTCACTCATACAGTGGATCACCCATAGTCCTTGCTGCTTCCAGCTGAGAAGTATCCCAAATATTGTAGTTTGCTCTCCACTTACCAGCTGGTGTATATTTTATGTGTTCTACAGTAGTTTAGGGTGACTACAAATAAATCGTCTCTGGGTATCTGTGTACAAGTCTTTATATGTATATGGTCTCATTGCTTTAGAACAAATATCCAGAAATAGAATTGCTGCCTTGCTAGGCACCTAAGCATTTAACCGTATTGAAACAAACAAACAAACCACCAAACCCTTAGCAAAATGTCTATTTAGGTTCACATTTTTGACAAGCATGTTAAAGCTCTAGTGTTTTCCTTGTCTTCTGTCACTTTTAATTCTAGCCATCCAGTGGGTATGTAAGAGTGTCTCGTCATGGTTTTAATTTGCATTTCCTTGACCAAATCACTGAATACTTCTCATGTACTTTTACCATTTGTGCATCATTTTTTTTTTAGGGAAATGAGTTTTAATTGTTATTATTATTATTTTACTTTTTAAAGAGAGGTGCTTCTTTAAACTCTCATTACTGTTTTGTCAAGATACATTATATTTCTGGATACAAATCCTGATAGAATATGTATAGTATCCACATTTCCCCAGTTTCTTGGCTTACATCAATTCAGTACTTTCCAAAAAGTTTAATTTTCATTAGGTCAAATTTATTATTTCACAAAATGCTTCTCACCTTTTGTGCTCTAAGAACTCCACATGTTCTACAGACATCCCAGTATGTCCCTGTCATTGTTATCACAGCACTGGGAGCAAACCCAGGGAGCCTAACGCTGAGCTGCATTCTGAACCGAGTGGATGTTCACATTTTATGTTTTATTCTTCCGTCTGCTGTTTCCCCATTGAATTATTTCAGCCTGCCTAGGTTTTATGCTCTATTTTATGACAACGTTTGAGTTGGTTTTTTAGTATGGTTTGAGGTAAGAGTCAAAGTTACTGTTTTCCATAGATACCACTTGTTTTAACACCATTTCCTGAAAATAATTTCCTTTCCCCACTTAAGACCTTTATCAAAAATCAAGTGGTGAGGGATCTGAGGAGATGTCTCAGTGGGTACAGTGCTTGCCAGGAAAACATGAGGACTGAGTGTTGGGTGTGACAGGACACGTTGTAACCTAGCACCAAGGGAAAGGAGTCCAGGACAAGAGGATCCGTAAAGCGTGCTGTCCAGAGAGTCCTACCAATAAGTGACCTCCAGGTTCAAAGAAGAGATACTGACTCAAAAAATAGACTGGACAGCAGTAGAGGAAGACACTCATTGTTGACCCCTGACCTTTATACTAGAATGTTTTTAATGAGTATACAAAGTAATAACTTTCAGTATGGCTGGATGTTCATAAGAATCACTACGCTTAGTTTTTCTCCCCCATCCCTTCTTGCTCCTCCTCCCTCCTCTTCCTAATTAGTCCTCAATCTACCTTTATGTCATATGTGTGTTTATTTGACCTAGATGCTGCAGATAAGAGAAAAATTCAATATCTGCTTTTCTAAGCTTGGTTCATTTAATTTAACACAATGACCTCCTTTTCAGCTGTTTTTTTTCCCTATAAATTCCATAATTTCATTGTTCTTTATAGATGAATAAAACTCCACTGTCGGGGCTGGCAAAACGGCTTAGTGCCATGGTTCTCTGCCCTGACCCGTGGGGCAGTCAACGACGAACGGGGAGCCACCTAGGGGAATCAAAAGGCAAGGGAGGAGACCAATAAGAGCTAGTCCATGTTCTGATCAAGCTGTTAAACTTTAGGGGAGGCTTATATAGGATCATGGGCAGGATGTGAGCAGGGGTTTGCAAGTGGGCAGGATGAAAGGGTCAATAGAAGGAATGCCCTGAACTAATCTTTAACTGGCTGTAAAATGTTAGCAGGAGGAATATCCTGAGCTATTCTTTAACTGGTTGTAAAACTGCAAGCCTGTATCTAGGAATGCTCTGCTGAACATTCTGCTTACTTCTTAAGAGGCAGTAATTTTCTATCTCAGAGGCCTGAGGTAGTGAGGGTGGTGACGGTCCCCATAGTTCTCAGCCTTCATAGTGCTGTGACCCTCTAACACAGTTCCTCGTGTTGTGGTGACCCCCAGCCATAAAGTTATTTCATTGCTACTTCACAGCTGTAATTTTGCTAGTTATGCATCATAATATAAATATCTGATATGCAGGATATATGACATTTGACCCCTGTAAAAAGGTCATTTCACCCCCTAAGGGGTTGTGACCTACATGTTGAGAGCACCTGGCTTAGTGGATAAAGCACTTGCCACCAGGTTTAACCACCTGAGTTTGAGCCCACATTGAGTAAGGAGAGAACATGGTTCATTGCGGCATGTATGCATCCACCATCCCTCTCGCAAATCAATAAATCTCATTTAAAAAAAAGTCCATGTGTATATGCACAATATGTTCTTTATTCATCCAAGATGGGTGTCCAGGATGAATCATGGCTTGACTCTTGTGAACACAGTCACAAATAAAGATGAGTGTGCAGGTATCTCTGTGTTATTCTCACGTATTACTTTAAGGCCGCATCCAGCAGCGGGAGAGATGAATCATGTGGTTGTTCTATTCTTAGTTTTCCGAGAAGTTTCCACACTGATTTCAATAAATTTCATTCTTTATCTCCTGCCTTCTGCAACAATTTTCAATGCAATTTACTAATGGCTAGCTCCTAGCCCATTTTTTATATTAACATCATATTTAGTGGTCTCATAAAATTCATTACCAGTTTTAGTAGTTGCCATAATAGTCTTAAGGGTTTATGTACAATCATATTTCATTTGCTATGGAAACACTTTATATTGTTTAATATAAGATCAGACATTCTAATCTTGTTCCTAGTCGTCAGAGGGAACTGTTCAGAATTTCACCTTGAAGGTTGATATTAGTTATGGGTTTACACTGCTCTTTATCCAGATGGAGATGCTATAGATTCCTTTTTGTTTTTAATTGGAAGAGTTTTATTTGATAACTAATGACTTTTGCCAAATGTTTTAGGTATAGCTATGGAAATGACTACATTCTTTGTTTTGTGGTTTAGTGTTTGTTTGTTGGAGTAAATGCCTCACTATATGGCTCTGGCTGTCCTGAAATATCTCAGTATGGATTCTAACTCAGGGTCCTCCTACCTCAGTCTCCAGTGTGCTGTGATTATGGGCATGTATCAACAACATCTGACTCTCTTTGCTTCCTTATTTGCTTTTAATATGATGAATTATTTTAATTTATATTTGAGTGTCAAATTAACCATACAATCTTGGTTTAAAGTCTCTGTTGTTATCAAGGTTTATATATATATATATATATATATATATATATATATATATTAAAACTTATGTTTATGACAGGATTTCTTGTATCCAAGACTGGCTGGCTATGACTTTTCTATGTAGGGGTAGATGACCTTAATATTCCCATCCTCCTGTTTCCACTTTCCCAGTGCTAGGGTCACAAGCATGTCCTACAAGTCCAATTCTACAGAGTACCAGGGATCAAACCCAGGACTTCATGCATAATAGGTAAGCACTCAATCAGCTGACCTAAATTTTCATCCCTGGAGCTAACTTATGAAGGTTGACAAGACCAAGGTTAGCAGGGACAGTCAGCAAGCTGAAGACCTAGACCAATGATACATTCCAGTTAAAAGCAATAGACTTAAGATACAGGAAGAGGGTTTCAGTTCAAACCCAGGTGGAGAGAATTTGGTCTTACTTGGGGGAGGGTAATCCTTTTATAGCATGAGTCTAACCCTTAGCTCCTTGGAAGAGGCCTTCTAATGTTAGGAATGACAGTTTGCTTTACTGAGTTTATTCATTTTTTAAGTTCCTTCAACTATGGCTTCAATGTTTTCAAAGAATTATTAAGACTCATTGTGGCCAAGTCGAGCTGATGCAAAAATTAACCACACCATCTAAATCAGGCTTTTTGCATAACATTATTTATAATGTTAACATTTAACAAAAATGTATGTATTTATGTTCATTTTTGTGATTTTTTGTAAAAGTATAGTGTTTAAAATTATGTCTCACGAGGCAAATTAGAAAGTACTTTCTTCTTTCAATATTTTACAAATAATTTGCCTAATATTGTAATAGTCTCTTCTTTGAGTTTTCAAAGACTTTGTTAGAATATCCAAGGATGGAGTTTTACTGGTGTGAAGATTTTTTTTTTTCACAGAAAACTCAATTGTTTTAAGAGATACTGGAATATTAACATCTGTTTTATCTTTTGTGAGGTTCTTAAATTTTATTTTGCAAAGTATTTGTTTATTTAATCAAAGTTGTCAAACATGAAATAATATTGTAATGTTTTCCTATATATTTGAAATATGTAGAATCTGATAGTGGCAATATATGTTCTAGCTCAGTCAAGATAGAAGCTCATGAATTTTTGTTGTTCTTTTCAAGGAACTAGATTTTACCTTTGTCAATTTCTTTTGTTGTTTGTAATTTTGTGGGTTTCTTCAGTAAGACTGTTATTTCTTCCTTTCTGTTTATGCTGACTTTGCTGTTCTTAATCTAGCTTCCCACAGTTACTGTGCATATATAATAAATTACAACAAGATGTTCTGGTATATCAGATGCATGATTATTTCTGTTCTCTTCAATATTTTATTTTCGTTGAGGTAACAGTGGCAAAAGGAACAGATATAGATGGCGTACCGGTTTAAAGGGAGTAGCACTATTCTGAGTGTGGACTTGTTGGAGTTATCTTTCTGGAGAAGGTGTGTCAACTGTGGAGGCCACTTTGAGGTCTCATATATATTCAAGCCATGCCAAAGTGTCTCAGACCACTTACTGTTGCATGTAAGGACTCTTAGTTTCATCACCATGTCTACCTGCATGCAGCCATGTCCCTCCATGCTGATAATGGAGTAGACCTCTTAACTCTAAGCCACCCCATTAAATGTTTTCCTTTTCAAAAGTTGCTATGGTCATGGTATCTCTTCACAGCAATATGAATGCTAACTCAGACAGATGTTGGTAGTAGGAACTGGGGCATTGTTTTGATAGGCCCGAACATGTTTTAGTTTGAAGTAAATGGACTTTGGCACTTTTAGTTAGGAAAGCAATGGCATGCTTTAAGCACTGCTTATTGGGCCATACTAGTAGGGGCATAGAAGAAAGCGGTGCTGAGAATGATTAAAATGTGGGAGAGATGGCTGTAGAGACCTTAGAGGAGAAGAATTTGAGTATGTTGCCTAGAGATTGTTCTTGTGACATTTTGATGAATTGGCTACATTTTGCCCTTGCTCGAAGAATCTGCCTGAGCTAAAGTGAAGAGTTTTAGATTAATTTTATTGGCTGAGGAAATCTCAAAGCAGCCTAGTACAGACTGTATTGTATGGTTATTAGTGGTAATAATGGATACTTATAACAAAAAGGAGCAAGCTGAGCAGGGTAAATGTAAATTTTAAGGAGAAAAAGAGCACCAGGAAACAGAATGGAGCTAAGTTCTGTGTTCAAGGAGATACGATGAAGAAATAGAATAAAGGAAATGGTGGACCACAGAGAAAGATCCCACCCAGCCAATGTTCCACCTTGTGAAAAGGAACTAAAGAAAAGTATAGAGCCAGGTATGGTGGCGCATACCTTTAATCCCAGCACTCCAGAGGGAGAGGCTGGAGGATCTCTGAGTTTGAGATCAGCATGGTCTACAGAATAAGTTCCAGAACAGACAGATTTAGGCAGTGAAGGAAAAGATGGAAAACAGAAAGCTGGGAATGATGTAATTGAGTGAGGGGGTCATGATCCAGCCCCAGCAAGCAGTAGAACTTGGCTGCTTCAGCCATGTGGCTCTGGCTTTAGGGTCAAGGATAGAAGAAAGGGGCTATGGAATTTGCTTCCATGATTAAGAAAAGCAGATGATGTTGGTGAGGTGGTGAGGGGCATGGGAGGACAAAGACAGGAGGGAGGGGGAACTGGGATTGGTATGTAAAATTAGATTGTTTTTAATTTAAATAAAAATTTATGAAAGAAAGGGAGAAAGAAAGAAAGGAAAAAAGGAAGGAAGGAAAGGAAGGAAGGAAGGAAGGAAGGAAGGAAGGAAGGAAGGAAGGAAGGAAGAAAGAAAGGCAACTGTTAAGACCAGGCATGTGTTAGGAGTGTCCCTGAACAGAGGCTTAGAGAGGCCATTGTATGAAGCTGTGAAGTTAAGCTTGGATTGCATTGGAGACGCCAAGATGCTGAAGATGCCAGGGTTGGGGGACACCTGCCAAGGAAAGCTGCTAACAGGAAGTGAAACCAGCCCAAGAGAAAGAAGTGTGTTGTAGTCAACAAAGCTGAAAAGGAGTTGGAGACTAGAAGAACATTTTGACATCAACATGGAGGTGCAGAGTTTAAGAGTTGGCCCAGCTGGTTTTCAGTCTTGCTTTGATCCATTATTTCCTCACCATGGTCTCTTTCTTATATTTTGAAATGGTAATGTATATCCTGTGCCATTATATGTGGGAAGTATGTGATACGTTTTATAATTTTGATTTTATAGGGCATTACAGTTGCATGAATCTCAGAAGAGACTCGGAACTTTAGACTTTCAAGTAAAATTTGAAACTGTTATAGACTATGGGGATTTTTGAAGTTGGACCGAAAGCATTTTTGCATTATGATATGGCTACAACTCTTTTGGGGCCAGGGAATGTAATGTGTGGTTTGAAAGAAAATGACCCTCAAAGGAAGTGACTTTGTTGGTGTAGGTATGGCCTTGTTGGAGGAAGTGTATCACTCTGGAGGTGGGCTTTCAGGACTCATATGTGCTCAAGACACGCCCAGTGTCTGAGACTACTGTTGCCTGAACAAGATGTAGGACTCTTAGCTCCCTCTCCAGCACCATATATGCCTGGATGCTGCCAAGCTCCCTGCCATGATGATAGTGGATGGAACCTCTGAAAATATAAGCCGCCACCTCAATTAAACGTTTTCCTTTATAAGAGTTTCCATGGTCATGGTGTCTCTTCATAGCAACAGAAAAACCCTAACTAAGACAGATGATGAATACACAAACAGATTTCACTAAACTAATTTTCAAGGTACTAATTTGACTGCATTTATATTAACTCACTGATATGGTTTGTGTCACTCAATTTTATAATGAATTAATCAGAGGCTACAATCAAATGCTTTAAGCCAATCCTATCATTTGTGCTACTTTGCACACTATCACTAGCAATTCAGCGTTAAAAACAAACAAGGATGCTCGTGTTTGTGTGTGGCTATGCTCCATTGTCAACTGATGGGTCTGTTTTATTCCAGGCCCCAGAGGTTCAGACCCTGACTGCATCAGCAGCTCTGGCCCAGCTGGAGACACAAAGAGCAAAGGGCACTTCAGATCACACCAGAACAGAAAAAGAACACCAATTGCCTTTCAGTGACAAAATTGTATCCAATGAAATAAGAAAAGACCAAACAAAATGAAGACAGGAACGATCCATCCAAACTCTATAAAGATATGGAAAAGTGAACTGAGCATGCTTTAGGGCACTTTAGGTGAGAGAGCAGTATGGAATTTATGCAGCGTCCATTTCCTCATTAGCAGCATACCCCGTCAGTCCACACTTCCCCTCTGTGGCATCCAAAGCTGTCATCAGTTACCTCCAGTCATCCTTCGAGAGGTTGACCAGAATATTCATCTCCTCGTCTTCCTGCAGAAGGCGGTAGGCCGCACTCAAGTGGTGGTTCTCCAGCACAGATCTGTCATTGTACAAGATAGCGGGATCCGACCTGGACAGAGGCACACACAAACTCCTTCAGGTTGGGGCAGAGCTGAGATCCCTTCCGCTTACTCTGACACGTTTTTGGTGCGTTGTCACTCTTTCCTGTTTTTAGAAATGATCTTGTCCCCAAGTCATCTGGGTCTCCAACTGCTCAAACTAACATTACACATTAGGAATTTTACTATCAAGAAGTGGGTATGGCATGTGTATCATGCACCCTGAGCATGCTCAAACCCACATTATAGAAACACCTCAATGACTTGCACCAGTGGCAAAACAAAAGTGACTTAAAAAGCCAATGTGTTCACCTTTCTTAGGATTTCTAGAATAACTTTAATTTTCAAATTTTTATTTAATTCAATCAATATCCTAGTTTATTTCATTTCGTTGTAATTCTCTAAGTACATATCACCTGGTGGTTACTATCTGCAAGCTGCCTAGGTAACTTGATCTTAAATTGTTTTTCCATAGAAATGCCGCATGTGGATAGTTGAAAACGGAGAATATAATTTTTATATATCCTCAAAGACTATTCTGTAGGTGAATGTTACCTAACATAGGAATGTACATCATTTTAATATCCCCAGTTTAATTTAAGCTTGGGTTATCAAAGCTCATTTGTTTATTAGTTAGGGTACCATCCTATAGATAGGAAGTGCCATTTTAGGGCCCCCAGAAAACTAAGTCACAGGACTGTGATGGAAATGAGGTCCTTGAACAACAGGTCTGAAGACAACATCTACCTACTGTTGATCAAACTGGGTATCAGTCTAGTGTGCTTTCAAAGTCTTAGGCTTAACACTTTATCTATCCAGGAAGAAAGGGCACAGCCACACAGTTTTCTGAACAGGGATTACTTGTGCTCAGGTGAACGGGACAAAGCTTTGCTGAGAGGGCCAACGTGTCAATGTTTGAATTTAATTCCCAAGTTAGATATTGGTGCATGTGTGTATTTTGCGGCCTTAAGCTCCTGTTTACCTTCTATGATTTATAGGTTTTCCACTGGGTTGACTGGATTTGTTATTGGTCTCCAAGCAAACTCCATGCAGTTGCCCTGCCCACCCCTTTTCCTTAGGCAGATTTGGGTCACTGCAGTCCTTGTCCTCCAAGCAAAACATCCACCCAGTCTTCTGCGGGATCTGCCTATATTTAAAGACCTTGGAACAATGACAAAAATATGCTTCCAGGAACCCAGACCACTCTCCCTGGGAAGAAGGAGTGAGAACTACAGAGAGCGGCTTAAGTTACTTCGTTTCCACTCCCCTTCCGAACACAGCACAGAAAGGGCTGACTTCTGCATGCCACAGAGGAGGAAAGAGATGAGAGCACCGAGAAAGAAGAGTGTCTCACCGAACCTCAGAGACCACGGTGAGAAGGCGCCATTATTGCATTATTGTTAGCATGACAGAAGCCCAACGATTATCTGAACTTAGTGATGTCATCTACATGACATCTGGGGCTCTATGCAACCTGCGCCACACCTATTAGAAACAGCTAGACAGGAGGCACAGAGCATGCATAAACAACGAGTGAACATTACAATAGTGAAGAAAGAAGGACCTACTGTAGATCTGAATAAAATATGAGAAATAGCAGCAGGTGGTTTTTAAAATGCTGTGTGTTCAATGATGCCGCCCAGGTTCCGATCTTGTCAGTCTTAGAAGTTAATCTTTCCAAAATTCAAAATAGAACAACCACATAAAAGGAAAGTGACAAACGCATAACTCACTGACATCTAAAATTATAACCCTGCCTCCTCGTGCCTGCTCTACAAACATTTCAACCCCCTTACCGGGTCTGAATGTGGAAATTGTTGGTAGTTCCGGTATGTTCATAGTCATGGATGGCAGCCGAGAAGATTATTGCGAAGATCTCCAGCTCTGTCAGCCAGTTCTGAAAGGGAGATTCACAGCAATCAGATAATCCGTCTCTTGCTCAGACCGTTTCAGTGTGCTGACAGCTGTCGCTGCACTGTCCGCTATTGCCAAACAAGTTTTCTTACACAGAAGTAATGGGGGCCTTTTCTCATTGAGGAGACTGAATGTGTAGCCTGAACACAGCACACAAGGTTAGAAGGATTATTACTCTGATCTGACTTTCCTCACAGGCAGCAATAGGGACCATGAAGAACTTTAAAATGGCCTCATCAAATAGCACTCCAAATTTAAAATAAAAATTTTATATCTCTAACATTTCCTTTTCCTGTCCCTCCCCCTCCCAAGGAAAATATCAACACAATATCTTCTCTCACCTATACAAATGTCATGGAAAAATTTTTAATGATAGCAAGCACTAAGAGTAAAAAACCTAATGTCTGATTATAGGAGAAATGTCTACTACAAGGTGGGGAGGCGCATATACAGAGATGAGACAGCTTTCTTCCTTGTGCAAACTGACATTTGGAGGAACCAATTCCATTCATACCCTTGGATCAACAATTTATCAAATTTGTCCAGGGGCTAGCAGAATTATCAACACCTAGGATACAATACAAATATAAGCAAATTCTCCGGCTTTACCTACCTAATCCTACTGAATCAGAAACTGTAAGTTGTGGTTCAGTAATTGTACTCTATCAAGTTTCAGGATAAATCGCACATCCGAGTTTAAGAATCCTGCACTGTTAGATGTTCTTTTAACTGAGTCCCACTGAAGAGACTCTGTAGCTTACAGGTACTTCCCATCCCTGTGTATCCTCCCTTGCTTACTTCAGCAGCACATACAACATATGTGGCAACTTCGAATCCACAGAGAGGTGTGAAAATGTGTAATCTCCATTCACTTTGTTTCCTGTGGTGGTTTGAATGACAATGGTCCCCAGAGGATCTGCACTTTTGGTCTCCAGTTGGTTGCAAGTTTGAAGAGGTGTGGGAGGAATGGCCTGGTTAGAAGTGCATCACCTGAGGCAGGCTTTGAGAGTTTAAAGACTTGCACCATTTCCAGTTGCTCTGAGATATCTTGCTATGCCCCTGCCCTGCTATCAGGGACTCAACCCCTGGGAATTATCAGCCAAAATAAACGCTCTCGCCCTTATGTTGCCACTGGTCGTGGTGTTTGGTCAAAGAAACAGAAGAATAACTACTGCACTTGCTAAGTATTTTTAAGTTCTCACTTTGCTGTATTTAAACACAAGAAAGCCAAGTTTTAACAAGGGAACAGGGCTTGTGGGAGAGAAAATGAGCACTCAATCCAGTTAATTCAGCAAACAGCCCATGGTCTGAGTTCATGACAAGTACCTGCGACATATTTGTATGGTTTAAGTCAATGCCAACTGACTCATAATAGTCATACACATTTTGTAGTTCTCCTCTTCAAGGATTTCTTTCACATAATTGTCAATTTTGGTCATTAACTAGAGAAATTCCCAAGAGTTCTTGCAATCCATGAAAAAAAATTTACTTTGCATTAGAGAATAAACAGTGGGAGTAGGTGCTTTAAAAATTATTTCTAGCAATTTGTAGCATGAAATTAAAAAAAAAATCTTTCCCAATACTCAAGAATGTACCCAAAAGTAACAAACTGAGGTTCAAGGAATTGGAAAGGCAAAGAAAACAGACTAAGAGAAAAATTATGGAAATAAATTGAGAAGGGAAGGGAGTGGGCTGGTGAGACGGCCCTATCAGGCCAAAGTGCCCACTGCCAAGCTTGACTATAGGAGTTCAGGCTCTGAGATCCACAGGGGAAATTATCCTCTGACCTCCACAGGCGCACAGCGGCGCATGTCCTGCTCCAACTGAGTAAGGAAGCAATTGTAACAAACACACACAAAGGGGAAGTTATCTTCTGACCTTCACACATGTACAGTGGCCCATGCTCTGCTCAGAGTGAACAAGTAAAAGTAATAAGTAAGATACACATGAGAAAAGATTGTGAGAAAGCTGAAGTTGCCTTTCCACAGACGTCAAGAGCCCTGTCACCTCCTCACATAGAAAGGCTCAAGGTGAAGCAGAACCCATCTTGGGTGATTTTTTTTAAAGTACTATTTCCATTCTTTGAAAGTTCCATGCACTTATACAGTGTATTATGATTATATCCATCTACCAATAATTACCCCAGCTCTCTCCAACTATTGTGTCCTTGTTGTTTGTTTCTTTTATAGAAAAATATTTATATTTTACTATATGTATACAGATGTCTTGCCTGCTGTGTGTCTGTGCACTAGATGAATACATTGCCCACAGAAGAGGCCATCAGATCCCCTGAACTGGAGTTACAGAGATTGTGAGCCACCACATGGATGCTGGGAATTGAACCTAGGTCCTCTGGAAGAGCAGCTTGCACTCGAAACTTCTGAGGTTAGGCCC